TCTCTCCCTCCTATCCCCTCTCCCTCCTATCCCTCTCCCTCCTATCCCCTCTGCTTCCTATCATCTCTCCCTCCTAACCCCTCTGCTTCCTATCCCCTCTGCTTCCTATCCCTCTGCTTCCTATCATCTCTCCCTCCTAACCCCTCTGCTTCCTATCCCCTCTGCTTCCTATCATCTCTCCTCCTAACCCCTCTGCTTCCTAACCCTCTCCCTCCTATCCCCTCTGCTTCCTATCCCCTCTGCTTCCTATCATCTCTCCCTCCTATCCCCTCTGCTTCCTATCTCCTCTCCCTCCTAACCCCTCTCCCTCCTATCCCCTCTGCTTCCTATCATCTCTCCCTCCTAACCCCTCTGCTTCCTAACCCCTCTCCCTCCTAACCCTCTGCTTCCTATCCCCTCTCCATCCCATCCCCTCTCCCTCCTATCCCCTCTCCCTCCTAACCCCTCTACCATCCCCTCTCCCTAACCCCTCTCCCTCCTAACCCCTCTACCATCCCCTCTCCCTCCTAACCCCTCTACCATCCCCTCTCATCCTAACCCCGCTCCCTCCTAACCCCTCTGCTTCCTATCCCCTCTCCTTCCTAACCTCCTTCATGTCAAGTGTTTCCCCCTCACAGATCCAGCTGTAGTGCAGCAGCAGCAGGGGGGGCCAGAGGAGCACAAAGACAGGCTTGTTGTCTGGGGAACGTGTGTGCGTGTGTGTGTGTGTGTGTGTGTTCCTACGCCGTGCACATGCACTCCCCCGCAGATAGTGAGAAGGCCAAGTTGAGGCAGCGCTGTCTCTCTAACCCCCTCCACCCCAGCAGCAGCAGCCTACGCCCTCCTCAAGGGCCGGGAGGCAGCGCGAGCATTCCTCTGAGCTGACTAACACCCCCCCTCCACCCCCGTGCACACGCACACACACACAATCAGTAAATTATGAGTTTTAACTACATTACAGTTAAATTAAAACCAAATAAATATCCACAAAAAACAGTTTCATATCTTTCCCTTCTTTTCTTACAATACATACATGTTGAATCTTTTAAACACTTCTAAATAATAGATACACAATACAATAATAGATACACACCTGTCACAGTAACAATATTAAGATACTATCCTTTAATAAAACAGTAGACTAAAGTATGAGCGTGCAGGTGAAGCCAGTGAGCTTTGGCTGATCCGTTTGTTTGCCTTTGAAACAAAGTAAACACATTATACAGGTACTGTAGTACACACGCACACACACACACACACACACCTATGCACACACAAACGCACGCTTAGTTCAACAGTATCCACTTTCTGTCAAGCAAATTAAACAATGACAGGAATCCTGAAGCAGACTACTGAAGGCAGCGTTATACCATCGTCAGAGCAGCCAACCACAGACACACACACACAGACACACACACACACACACAGACACACACACACACACAGACAGACAGACAAATACGCACACAGACGCAGACAAACTCTCTGTGACCTGTCTTCTATCAAACAATGCGGTCTCAAATGACTCAGGTGTGATACTTATCATGGAAGAGACCGAGTCACAGAGAGATTGTGTGTCTGTGTGTGTGCGTCTGTGTGTTAAGTAAGCGGACATCTATTCCGCTATTAAGCACCATGTTGTTAAGATGTTTTTAAAGAATATAGAGCAGCAACACTAATCGATTGGTCTATGGGGCATGAACTAAATAGAAACATTTGATGCTCAATCCCATCAAATCTTTTGTTTTTTATATGCGTGTTCGCTGTTGTTTGAGGGAATTGAAATGACTGAAATAAACTAAATGTAAAGGATCAGAATGCTGACGATGTTCGCTGTGGGACCATGTTGGAGGAGAGAGGGACCAGCATGTCAGCCTCTAACGTCAATTTGAAAATAATATCCCAAATTACAGATCTCGGATCTGGGCAAGTGAAATATCTGAGAGTGTGACATCATCACTCATTCTCTTAACAAACAAAGCTGAATAATAATTCATATAGTAATAATGCAAAAAAACAAATTGGTATGCGCGTTGCTGTATGTACAGCATACAAGTGCACACCGTATCTTCTCGACAGTGTGTGCGTGTGTTTATTGTCCCTGATCCAGTCACACACACACTCTTCTTTTGATGCAGGGCGGCTGCCTGCATGGAACACACACCTGTTCTCTCTGAGCTTTTAGTGCGTCGTTCTCCCTCCTGCAGCGCGGCCACAGGAGCCGATGAGCTCCAGAATCCGCTTTGCTGCGTCTCGTCAAATATTCTGTCTCCTTCTCCTGCCCCCTCCTCCTCCTCCTCCACCTCCTCCTCCTCCTAGGATATCTCATCTGTCACTTTCACCGGTTATATTCAGTCTTGCTGTCTATGGTGTACGCGTCACCCTCCCTTGTTAAAATCAAACCCCAAACGTGATGACAGCACTGGGAACCTTAACCTCCCTCTGCACCTTCCTGTAGGACATCACGTCCACAAGATAACTATCCGTTTTTGGGGTTAAATCGAGACACTTTTTTACGGGCTGACTGAGAATCAATAAAAACAATCCTGTAAACTTTGACTAAATCGTCTGCAACTCCATGAATCTAAAGCAGGGACACAGATGTGAACACAGCTGTTGACTCTCTTCCTGTGAATGGCCACGTTTGTATGTTGGTAATCTCTCTTTCCCCTGTCTTTTTTGTTTTATCCCATCTTTTATTTCTGTACTTGGGAGGGATGGATGGATGGATTCATTCCTTCCTTCCTTCCTTCCTTCCCTCCTGCCCGGACACGCTGCAGTGTGAATCAGACGGAGGTCTCGCTGGCAGGAAGGATGTGTGTGGACAAGACCGAAGCGCTCCCCAGCCGTAAGCCAGACTGAGTTAAGGTAGGTAAGCCGGAGGGAGGAATCCAACCCCCCAGGGTCCGCCAAAACACACAACGCACACCTTGAATCATGTGTAATGCACCACCAGGGTTCCCCCACTGAACCTCTTTAAAAGGTATTCCCTCTAAATCCCTTCATAAACTTGCATAAACATAAACAACTGCGGCCTGGGTTGAAATGATCACTTCCTTTACGGGTTCTTCGCCATCTTTAGAGGTCAGGGAACACTGAGGACCACGGCTTGAAGCAAGTAAAGAATGCGTCGATGGGTCGATAACAGGAACCAAACAGCAGCCTTTTTTTGGTCCAACAACACGAGCAGTCGGACCTGCACTCTGTGCTCAGAACTTTTTGTTGTTTGTGTTTACAGCTCATGGGGAGAAACGATGTAAGAAGAGGTCAGAACCGCAACGCCACAATTGCTTGTCGTTGAGTGACTAAGGCTTGAACTTGGACACCAGCCCCCAGCATTCACTTTGCTTACTGGTCCTGAAAAAAAACCCAGCTCCTTGTGGAAACCACAGTGAGCTAAAAAGGCGAGTCGAGCCCAAATGACACACTCTCAGAGCATTTTGTTTGCAAACTACAGCTTGGGATTCAAATCATAGCAACTCAAAAACATCTCATTTTTACAACTGGACAAGGAAAGTTTGTCAGATACGACTAACATTAAAAGAGCTGCTTCGTACAAAACAGCTGGAAGATTTCTAAGCGGATTTCTAAACCAGCTTATGGAATTTGGCCCTCAAAGATATGAGACCTCAAATCACCCGCGATGAGTAAACCACCTGTTTTTCAACAAGCCTAACCTTAAATTCCCCCCAAAACGGACACTCGATCCGCTAATCCGCCACCTGACGCCCGGCTCCATCGCGGCGAACCGTCACGGAGACGGGAGGCGCTGAGCCTCACCGGGGGGAGTCACGCGTGTCAGAGCGATAGGAGCGGCCCTCCTCATGGACGGGCCTGGACACGCAGGGCGGCCGCTGACATCCAGCCAGAATGATGGGGGGGGGGGGATTAATAGAAACAGCAGCTCTCCAGGGACGGTGTCAGGCCGCACCAATCTGTGGGGGTCATCTTAATGCACTCCCCTCCTCCGAATTAGTGGTGGGAAATATAAAACCTGGATCATGACAAACATGGTTCAACGTTCCGGGTAGGCTTAACTCCGAAAGTTGGCCCCGGGCCTCCGCGCGCTGCGATATGCACACTTGCGGCGGTGAAGAATGTGGGAGAGCCCCGTGCGGAGCTCGGTTTTCATCTGACACCCCGTGCGCTATTAAATCTAAATCACCCGCAGATGCAAGGGAGATTTTGTGGACACGAGCAAAGGGTTGGAGGTCTTCATTTGTACACAGACTCGTGCCAGCACACAACACACGACATCAACACTGAGCGACAGTTAAAATCTCTACTTTTTAAAAAGGTGTTATAGCTGTTTTTGATGGAGGGCCTCAGATTAAATGGCCATAATTCAGGGCTGCACCTAAACTTGATGTTTTCATTGCGGATTTATCCGCCAATCACCCAGTCGACGCATTCAAATGCATTCAAATGTCCAAAACCACAACATATTCATCTGCATGACAAAAGCAAAAGATTAAAACCTCTCATTTGAGCAGCGTGCAGCATTAATAAATGCACCTAAAACCATCCGCTAACTTTCTGTAGAGTTATCGACTAACCACTGCAGGTGTGTCTGATAGTGTGCTGGATAAAGTGCATGTAACACATGCAGGAATCAGCAGCAACGTGGTGTTGAAAGGCAGATTTGATTCATATTCTGTCCCGGTGCACGAACGGCTGCACCGACAGAGCCGCCCACGCGCACCCGCACCGCGCGAAAGTGTCCCAGATTAAAGCCAAGTTATATAACTTTGGGACTCCGTCCCTCTGCGCAAACAGCGCGACGCCAGCTCAAAACAACAACACGTTGCATCGCGACAACCTGCACGACATCTCTCTCGATTGAGCCGCGACTGACGCGCGCGCGGTGCCGCGTGACCGACGTCAGCGCGAAAAAAGTAACGCGACGCGGCGGGTTTTTTCTCCCTTTTTTTTTTTTAAATGATTTGAAAATGTCACCCTCCACGTGCGCGTCTAAAGGCGAGTCGGGGGGAGGGGGAGTGGGGGGCGAAGGCGACCCTCACCTGGGGATGGTGATGCACTTGGTGTTGGCGTTCTGGGTGGTGATGGCTTTCTCCAGCTCGTCCAGCTGTCCCGTCTTCTTCAGCTTCTTCACCAGACTCTTCACCGCCTTCTCGCACCACTTCTCCTCCTGGCCGTTCTGCTCGCCCTTCTTCCAGCCCAGGAGGCGTTTGACGATGGGGGGAGTGAAGGGCAGAATTGACATCTTGAGCCTTCGGCGTCGAGTCCTTCCAGGGTCGAGAGAGAAGTCCGCGCGGTTGTTGCTGCTGCTGCTGCTGCTTTTTTAAGCACGGGAACAACTTCCCTTCGAAAAATAAAAATAAAAACGGTCCGGTTCGGCGGAGGTTCAACGCGTTGCTTCGCTAACGGCGGCGTGTTGTTGTTTATCGGACGCGGCGCCGATGCGTCCCGGAGTTAAACCCTCCAGTTTAAGCGCACTCCGTCTGGATCGAGCTCGGCGGTGAACCGTGTGCACCGGCGCGCCGTCGCTGTGCGGATTCGGTGCTCCTCCGCCGGGAAAGCTAGTCCCGTCCGCGCCGCTTCGAACGCAGATATATTTCAAATACAAACAAAATCCGTGACGCCCGGACCGCTTCTTTCAACTCGAACAAGACTCAAAACAGCGAAGCGGAAGCACTTTTAATAGAGCGGCGTTCCCGCTCTAAAAAAAATCCGATCGGCGAAGTTTTCGTTGAGTTGAGATCCATCCGCGGTGCTGCGTCCCCCCGCGACTAAAGTCTGCAAGAAGTCTGCATCAAATGCAAATGCAGGAGCTGCTGCTGAGAGTCATCGTTCAGGCCCCAGAGCTGCACAGCAGACCTGCAAGAGGCCACCTCGAGCAGCTGGACAAATGTGGTTGCGCTGATATTGCACAATCTCAGTTTCCACTGCTGATTCATTAGCATTTGGAAGCGCCTCAATAAGCTTTCACAAACACACGCACAAATCACTTGATTTAGTTATATAGCTGCAAAAAATTACAAGTGACAGCAATTTGGATGATGTCCTCGTTCATCTGTTGTTGATCTTTATTGTGTTGTGTGTGTGTGTGGAAACTGCGTTACTTATTCTCGGTATCTTGAAAATTCCCCAAAGAAAATCATCCATCTGTTTCAGTTTATCCTTACAGCATAATTATAATCCGAAGAGGGCCACACTGTTCTTGGCTCCTTATTCCCCCCACACGGTAATCAAGTTTAGGGTTTTTTTTTATCTTGGAAGGGGAAGCAATCCTTATTTTCTCCATTTTATTTTTGAAAATCCACACACTGTTGACTATACAACAGGCAAGGTTACATTCCTGTGTGTGTGTGCTAATTGTGCAAATACTTGCAGCGTTTCAAATTCAGCAGCTCCAACACAACACTTTTCAAGTAATTGCCACCGAGTTGCTTTGTCTCCGCGGGGGTAAATAACTTGCTGGGGCTGCTGTGAGATGGAAGGTGATAAAAGTCATGCACACACGCACGGGCTGAGCCACCAACTTGCCTCAGCTTGTTAGAGGTTGGAGCATTTCTACCATACATGGTGGCCGTTTGGTGCGTAGCGCGTCTCAGCCCCTGAAACCACAACTAGCCTGACACATGCACGCAACTCCCACATATGCCTCCACCCCTCCGCACACCCCACCCTCTCTCTCTCACCCACACACACACACACACACACACAGTGTCAAGGAGTCGAAAGTGCCAGATGTACAAAAGAGTGTGCAACGCAGCTGAGCTCGCCACGGAGAGAGAGAGTGATAGTGGAACGGTTTAGGGTGTGGGGCTCCCTTTGTTCTTCCAGCTTCAAAAGAGAAGCCTTTCCTGCGCTGAAAAGCGGTTCGCAAACTCGGGTGCCGTGTTTGCGGGCGCTTGAAGGAGCCGTAAAAGTTGTGAAAGCTCTGAGCAAAGAGGGCTGACGCAATCGCAGGGTTCATCTTTACGAACAGCGACTTTTTTCAGAGTAGCCGCGTGCTGACGTGGTGTCAGAGACGACCCACGAGGCCGAAGCGGAATAACCTGCATACCTAAGGGCCTCAAAACGGCCCCTCGGAAATGTCCATTTCAAAGTACTGTGAAATGATGCAGTTGAATCCAAGAGGGGAACTATTGTTAATAAGAAGCGCGCACCTTTAATCGGGGCCTCCCACAACGTTTCACACTCAGAAAAAAGTGGAGTGGCATCGACCCGTGGTTACATTTTTGGTTTGTGTGTGCAGGCGCATCGACCTGCGCCCGGCGCTTCCTCTCTCTGTGCACAGTGTGTTGTTTGTGCTAAAAATACGGCCGGCCTCAGGCTTAGCAGGACGGACCCCTTTCCTTTTATCTATTTTGGTCTCACAGCAATGTATATTTTCATAGCTGCTGAAGGCATGTCAAGGTTCCTCCTCAGCGCTCAGCACCAGAATATACCCCAACAAATAGATCCAGACTGGCCAATAATGTCTTCAACTGAAAAACACACGCACAATTGACCAACTCTTCGTTGAGTCCATCAACGCACACTTTTTGCAAGCGGTAACCATCACAGCATCAAAGTCTCCATTGACCGATCCTTGTCTGACCAATGACCGAGTCTGCAGCTGTAAAACACGGCTCTCTCTTCCCTCCTCTCCGGTGTGTCGGGCAGGGCGGAGAAGGAGGAGCGCGCTGCCATGTGTCACATGCCGAGGCCCCCAGCGGCCCTCTCGGCACCTGTTTACGCCTCCGGGGACACGACCGGCCAAGACAGCTGGTTTGTTTGGGAGAAGTGCAGGGGGAGACGTGGGTGGATGCGGTGGGTGCAGGATGGGGGATGGGATTACAGATGGGCCGCAGTAGACGGGATGGGGAGGACGGAGGGGGGGGTAAGACTGGGCGGATTGAGTGTGTGTGTGTGTGTGTGTGTGTGTGTGCGTGTGTGTGGGAGGGAGGGGGGTCTTCTGTGAGAAGAATTACTGAGCACAAAAGGCACGTCAGCAGGACTGAATGGGCAGTGACCACGTAGAATCCGATGGTTGATAATGACATTGTGCTGCCTTCGACCTCTGGGGACTTGAGGTCCGAGTGTGTGTGTGTGTGTGTGTTTGTGTTCATGCATGTCTGTGTGTGTGTGTGTGTCTGATGTCAGCTGGTGTCCCAACGGAGTAAAAGGGTCAGACCAAGATAAGAATGTGGGTGTCTGGATGGATGTGATAAGGACACAGATGACCAATGTTTGGCCAGCATGAAGAGAAAATTACAATCACTGACGAAAACAACATTTATTTTTATTTAAAAGATGTATTTAAAATGAATAAAAATCTTTTTTCTGAAAATTCTGAATTAATAAAGTTTCTGTGAAGGGATTGAAGAAAACTTGTGTATGAATATGTATAACGTTAATCCCAACGGCCTACTAGAAAATAGTAGATATATGCACATTCTTCTTGCAGAGTCATCGTAGCATCACAGTTAAAGCTTCGTATTAAAAAATGTTACTGAAAATATTTGGTACACCTTCAAAAATGTATTATCAGATAAACTATCAAAACTGAAAGTGCTCGTGCAGCAGAATGACTCGTATCACTGATAACGTTTAAAGTACACACCAAAGCACACAGTTTTGCTACTTAATTATTATAAATGTTTTTGGTGTAAAAAAAAGAAGGAAATCTGCACAATAGCTCATAACTGAATTTTGTGGAGTTAAAGTTAAAATCATTTACTTGGAAGTTACGAACCCATCTTGAGTAAATAAACAGCGTGTACTGTGATCGGCTAACAAAGCGCTCTGACACAGACACGGTTTATACAGAAAAACAAGTACGTGTGTCTGTTAATACAGAGCCACAAATGTGTCTGTGGGCCACAGGTTTCTCTCTTGTTCCTTAGCAACAGCTTTAAAAATCTCTGCAGTTTTATAAAGCAGGGGGTTCTTGGAGTACACAGTGTGTGTGTGTGTGTGTGTGTGTGTTGAGAAATAAAAGTGATTTCACAGATCTCCTTGGCAATAACAAGACCCAGCGTTTCTCTCTCCGGGAGAAACGTCAATCGCTCAACAGCTCCAGAGGACTCCTACGAGCACACGGTGTACCGAAGGCTCATCATCCTAACCCTTCTACACACATACACACATGCACACATCCACACGCACGACCAGGACACTTGTCTTGTCTTTGAGGGCTTTATCGCGGCACAAAAAGTTCAAATTTACAAGGTGTGACACACCTGGAAACCGAGAGCTGGGTTCCCCCGGTTCGGCCCGACCGGGCCTCTGAAGGCCGATTAAAGGCTTGATCCCAGGGGAGTCGGTGAGGGAGAGGAGCCCCAGAGGGGAGAGGCCTTGTTTAATACAGAGGGTGACGTGAACACGATGCTTCATCCCTGACACACACACACATCGCTTTTGATTATTCATAGCCACGTTTCTTGGGGGTTTCCATGTGGCCATTGTTTATGCCAGATAATCCACTCATGCAGAGGAAACACTTGAGTTGATGCCGCGCTTCCCCTGTCACAAATGTTGTGAAACTTCAGCACGACTCACGACTCACAACTCTCACCTCTTTGAATAACAGGAAGACGGCGCTTTTTCCTCCCACGGCAATTTGCCCGCCACTTAGCGAAGTCGTCAGCGGCGGCCTGGATGAATGCGAAGCTCACAGAAAGGCTCTGTGCTAAAATAATAAACCCCTCGTTTGGACGTATAAGAGCTTCTGAGATGTGCTCGGCTTTTATTTTGAGGAAGTCTCATCAGACAGGATGGCATTTTGTCTGTTTTTCATTTACTGCAGTGACGTGTTGTTGTTCCACACAGCGTCTCATATCAATCGGGTGGCTCTTTCCTTGTGTTTTTAATTTTGGTGGTGAGCAACCTGGTTTTTTTTGCGATACAGCCACACGCAGAAGCTATTTTTGAATGAGTGTGTTTGAGCGATCGGATGATTGGCAGCTGTCCGAGGGGGGGGGGTGCATCAAAGACAGGTGTCTGTTGAGCAATATTATGTAAGCGTGAAAAACCCCACATATGCAGCGTCTACTGTCCGCTCAGAATCGAACTTATGCGCATGTTTTGTGTATGTTCTTTTCAAAATAAAAACGTTAACAAATTTTGCAAATTATACAAAACTGCAACATGTGTTTACGGTTTCCAGTTCACTGCCAACTCAATGTCTAACTGCTCAAGATGGAATTCAAAATGCCGGTCAAAGTCCAGGGCCACACCGATCGGAAACGTCTTACACTGTTAAACATTTAACATTGGTAGCTGTTCATTTATTTACTTAAACGTAGGACTCCACCGTTATGTTTCCTTTCCATATCTTCTGAAAGTCTTCAACTTCCAACACCTGAAGTCAAATTTCTGTTCGGTTTCCTCTGACATGGAGGTTGACCCCCTGCGATCGCTTCAACCCGCAAAGGGAAATGTGTCCCTTACTAGTAAAGCAGAGTTGTGTGCGTGTGTGTGTGTGTGTGTGTGTGTGTTTGTGTGTGCGGCTCTGCAGATGCGCACACACGAGTGGATCGCACACAAACACATGACTCACAGCAGAGTAAAGCTCTCCCTTGAACCCACAGAGAGTCACGTAGGCCGCCATGGGAGAGAGAAACGCCGTGCGCCCCCGACCCCCCTTCCCTGTTGCAGGCTGTGACTCATCGCGTGAAACGACAATCCCAGAGATAACCTGAGTGCTCCCTCTGTGACTGATTTACAAAACACACAGACTGAGGCAACGCCGTCCCGGCTGACCTCTGAGTCACGAGTCACTATAAATGGCTGCCGGTCAATCCCTGTGAGAGCAAATTTCCTGTTGTTAGCATGCCTGCATAATCTCATTGATAGCAGACAGGATATTGAGT